AAGACCAGGGGGCAAAAAAAAAAATTCTCAAAATTTCAACTTAAGCCATGAAATTTCAATGGCCATGAAGCTGAGGTATTTTTGTCACCGAAGGCGAGTGGACAGTTTACTCTCACTGCGGCTAATACTTTCATAGGCCTCTGAATTCAAGTGCCTTCAACCACTGAAGGCTCCACATTGGTCTTCCTACCAGCCTAATGAAGTACTAGCTGTTATCAACTACAGAGATTAAAACACAGATTCAGCGAAGTCTGAAGAGTACTTCATATCATGCCTGTGTGCGATGGTAACGGGGGAGCAGGGGGGCTTGTGATGATAGCCACTCTAGCCTGCCCTGCCCAGGCGGACAGACAGAACAGACAATTATGTCTTTTATGTGCCTTTTAAGCTAATTCAGAAAATTTCTACTATTATTCAAGTTAACAAGCTGCAGGCTCACGGGAGGGTTTTCAAAGACCTGGGGAAAGTAGCTGGGGGTTAAGAAACAACAGGGGGAAAGAGGGTCCCATACAGATGAGCTAATTAGCAACTTGTAAGACCTTCCACGAAAGCAGCTGGTCCAGGCACATGCTTAAAAGATTCGCAGAATTTTTAGAATTGAAAGGGTTTTGAGGGAGCATCTAGCTCAACCCCTCATTTTATGGAGGGAAAAACTGAGACCCAGTTAATTGCTCCAGGTCACAGAGGGTCCTGTTGCAGAATCGGGCTAACAATTCCTTGTGCTCTGTCTCGCAACCGAATTGTCTTACTTTCCACCTAAAATGACAAAGTAAGAGAGTTCTCCCAAGAAATTCGTATCGGGCGCCATCTCTGGTTTTCCGTAAGATTTCTCTGAGTGTGCAAAATCTCTAGCACACAAGTGTGACTCAGGTAGTTGGTGGGCCGTCGGGTTTCTTCACCGGGATTGCGTCATTTTCATGCATGCAATTTTCATGATGCAATCCAGCAATGTATTTAACCCAGCAGCTTTGATCACTTTAATAGCCTATGTTTCTCTCAAAAACAATGGGCCTCACGAAGTGGCAGACATGTGGGGGACGGGTCTTTACGTTGTAGTTCCCCAAACACGGATTATGCTCCCTTCTACTATTTCTATTCATTCCCTTTGCCAAGCAGTTCTTCCCAACAGCCACTTATTAGCACAGTCATGAGACTGCTTCACCTAACGAGCAGTTTCGCTACTAAAAAATTCCCAAGACTGGCCAAGAGGGGGAGCAGCTAACCATGTCACTCCAGAGTTTTGGCTCTGGGACCATTTTAAGACAGAGTTGACCAAAAAAAAATCTTGCAGAAGATCTTGTCCTTGTTGGGTGGGGAGAGGAGAGAGGCAGGGAGGGGAGCAGAGGAAAAAAATGCAAAAGACAAGATCTCCTGAGTAAATTGGGAGCATTGAGACCATGGGAGAGGGTTGAGGGGGTGGGGGGAAGAAGGGACAGGAACAGAGAAAAATGTAGAGCTCAATAAAAATCAAGTATAGAAAAAAAAAAAAGCTTGCAGAACAGAAAAATACAAAAGCCAGTCCTCATAACCAGAGACACACATTTAAAGAACAGGCAGCCTGGCAACATTGCTCAGTGGGTATAAACTGAGTCTGATCCCCAAAACCCACAGTGGAAACAAAACTAAGTCCTGAAAGTTGCTGCCTGACTTTGACATGCACCCTGTGGCATGAACATGCCAGCTGTCCACACGCATGATGGTAATGATGATAAGAAGTAGCGATAGTAGTAATATAATTTTAATATTTTAAAAAGAAACCCAGGAAACTGGTTGAAGTGCTATAAGGAGATACTGTCAAATGAGGTCTTTCTTGTATTTATGCAGGTCTGAAAACACACACACACAACTTAGAATGTACAAATCAACTTATAAACTATAGAGTCACTTGAGATACACGAACAACAGAAAATGAGAGGTGCAGAAGCAAAACAACCCCCCAATAAAAAAATTCTTAGAGACAAGGAAACAGGAAAAAGGATTTGTTCTTCACACATGATAAGTCTAAAAATGGCAAATCAGGTGATGAACCACATTCTCTTGCAACGGAGGCACCAGTAACCAAAAACTGGGTCAGTGAAGCCATTTCATGCATCTACATAACACTTTGCTAAGACAGGAAGTTGCCAAGGCTCAAAATCATCTCTTGTGAGTATGCATTCTGAACCTGGACCTGGCCAGACCACCTTTTATTTCCCCCTCCCCTTCTGCTATTTCCTCACTTTGTATCTCCAGGGGTTTGTGGGTAACTCTGCTATCTCCTTCGTTCCCTAGCCACCGTCTTGTTTCTTTGCCAAATTTCCTCTCTTCTTTTTCCATCAAAGACACAGGTTTGTCCTCTTTATCACAGTTCGGGCAGTTCTTTGATCAAAACAACCTTACCCTTGGACTTCTGAGAATTGAAATAACCCTAAAGCACTTTACTCAACACCCCTGGAACTATCAATCAAACATCCGATGCAGCACCTACTAAAAGGATCGCTGGGCACCAGACAACTGATGTTTTGCCATGAAAAATGATTTCAGAAAACGTCAAGAAAATGTGCAAAGTATTCCAGCTCTGGTCTGATCTCCAGACCAAACGGATTTCAGCGGCTCACAACAAATTTTAATTGGTACTCATTAACTTTATTGTCTTTGTCATATTTTAAATTAGAGTCAGAAAAAATAAACGGAAGTTCTATAATCATTTTTAGTAGGTTTTGGAACCTATAAAGGTAAATTTTAATGTATTTATTGAATGTGAAGAAGAGCAATTGTTTATATATTTTTTTAAAAAAAAATCCAAGCATATGTTAACACTTACTGATAGCGGCTCTCTATATAGCTTTCTTCAAAAGAAAGCCTGAACATTGTAATCATACTATGTAATATACTACTATAAAACCATGGGGAAAGAGAAGGGGGAGAACATTAAACCAGCAGGCCCATAGGCCATGACTGCGGGCTCTATTCCAGAGAAAGATATGTATAACCAGAAATAGGACAATTCTCTTTAGAGAAGTCTGTACCAAGAGTTGGACATTTGCTATAGTCTACAACTTTCTCTGTAAGAAACCCAGACCTATGCTTTTGGGTGTGTCTTACATTTTTCTGAGCATCTCTCTCAACCTCAAGCTTAAGCATTTTTTCAATGCCTTATTTCTTATCTTGTCCTCCAAGTGTACTGCGTCTACAAAAGAAAAAAGGAATGAGGTAGCTTAGGGAAGGTGGGCTTGGGGATGGGGAATCTCCACTGCATCTTGCTCTCAACGGAAGCAGGACTTGTTGCCTTTGTAATTCTGCTATGAAAGTCCCATGTGGTGATTTGTAGAGCCATTCACGTCTATGGCAGAGTCGAGAGATTGTCGCTGTTTCTGGGCATGTAGTGCACACCTGTAGCCCTAGCACTAGGGAGAGCAAAGCAAGATCACAAACCACAGGACTCTCAAAAAATTAGATAGACTTGAAGGGGATGGATAATGAGATTAGGAATGAGTTGCTGCTTTCAAAACAAAAGCAGTGATCTTGAGACAAGGAAGGGTCTAACACTGTACTTACCAATAACATCTATTTTCACAAAGTATTAGCATGTGTCCTTTAACAGAAAAAGCTAGATATACGAGGGCTGGGTTAATCAGGAGGATATAAAGATACATATATTTATTCTCTCCCATCCAGAGAAATGAGATAGAATTCAAACCAAACGGTTTGGAGGTATAGGCCAGTGGTTGAGTACATGTATAGCATGTGTGATGTGCTGGCTTCCTTCCCCAGCCACAGCATGCAAAAACAAGACCAAATACGTCTTGCACACAGTGTACTTGAAACAGTGAATAGGATCAATGGTATACACTAAAAAAAAAAAAAAATCCAGACAGTATTTAAGTACAACTGCATTACAAATAAAATGCATCACAGTCTAGCTTGGACAGCTTACTAATACTTATTAAATTGGTTACAAAAAAAAAAGTTTCAAATAATGACTCTCAAATGCCTGAAATACAACCTGTTCTATAGTTGAGGACTGTCTTATCAGCTCTATCAAATCTAATTTCGTCTAACTTTTCACCATGGTAACAAGCCCTTTGCAGGAATATTCAAAGACTTTCACATCTAGAAAATTTGCCTTGTACTCCTTCACCACGCATAATGTCAAAAAAAAAAAAAAGCTTGCTTCAAAGGTACCATGTAATTAGAATGGCCTTTAAAACGGGCACAAAGGAAGTTGTTCTGATTAAATCACGTCTACTTCACAACAATCCTGAGTGAGCAACATCACAGAAAGGAATCCTAGGGATGCTGGGACCCCATATTCTAGTTTTGCATCTGTTATCTGTGGTGTGGCTTCAGGTAGGGCTTGAAATGCCTCTCATCTGCCTCCTTCCTTTCTATTAAATGAAAGTAACCACGTTAGAGGGTTTAGAGTCCTGTGGTTTTTCCATTCAAAGACTATACCAGACCTCAGCTCTTAAGGAGCCTGGAGAAGCAGCCAAGCTTAGTGAAGAGCATAGAGTAGTGGCTACTTCCAGGTTATTGGCTGTATGGATGCTCAAGAGCTGAGCACCAATCCTGTCTATGTGCTATGGGGATTCGAAGAACTGTAGTTGGCAGTCCCTTGGGAAATTTAATATGAAGTCCAGCATCTGTAGAACCTCTCTACTGGATTCGGGAGTGGGGGGGGCGGCTAAGACGGTTCTGAGATGCCTGCTTTTTATTAGGAAGTCGTTTGTTCAGTGACTTGCGTCAACAACACTATGCAGCGTTCACCCAAAGAAAGGAAAGGAAAGCATTTAAATGAACCTCATCTATTTTTAACTCCCTTTGACCATATTTCCATAATGCCTAGTATACAGATGCCAGTGCAAGCTGCTTAGCTAACTTGCCCCTGGAAGCCTGCTTAAACCACATGGCCACCACCACATCTTGGGAGGAAACTGAAGCACCGAGAGAGAACAGAAGCCATCTGAGACGCGCTCACACCCAACAGCTGTCACCTCTTACATGCAACTCAGATCACATACCATCAAACTTCTTGTAGCGGGACGCGAAGACGGCCTGCAAATGGTTGCACTGTTCACTGAGCACGCTCTGGAAATCATCTTTACTTTTCAGGCCGTACTTCTCTTCCATCTCTTGAGAACAGCAGGTGTAGCCCTGGGGACAGATCTTCAAATGGTCGCCTGGAAGGTAGAAAGACAATCTGTGTCAGCACTGGCCAGCAGGCCCAAGAGAGAAAGGCTTGCTCTCCATGCGCAATCCTCTTCACGGTCGCCAGGGAAGCCCTTTGTGAAAGCTCAACCATTGCACAGATCTAAAAGGACTCGCGGACATGAAAACTCTTTATTCTTGTATCCCAGTTTTGGTGTGGTTGTTTTGAAATAGAACTTTATTATTTTTTTTTTTTAAAAAAAGCTCTCAGCCAGGTGTGGTGGCGTGCACCTTTTATCCCAGCACTCTGAGTTTGAAGCCAGCCTGCTCTACAAAGTGAGTTCCAGGACAGCCAGAACTACACAGAAAACCTGTCTCCCAAAAAAAAAAAAAAAATGCAAATAAATAAAACAACACACACCAAAATTAACCAGGCCTAACCACTTCACAACTTAATGAACTCATATAGAGTTAGAATTGGAATTCAAAATGGAAGTTGTGATGAGTCATAAAGCTACCATCACCCTCAAAACAAAAAAACAGAACTTTGTAAAACTTTGTAATTAAGATGGCTTAACCACAGAAGTCACTGTGGGGCCGTAAGAACAGCATTGGTTAATAGTAACACAAAGCTCTTTCATAAATTCCTTATGATTCTGTGTGAAATATTTCATAATTCTTGTAAACAAGAGATTTTTTTAAAAGAATTTGGGAGTTTATATTTCAAGAGAAAGAGAGAATAGTTTATAAAGTGTGATAAGAACCCAATAGGTAAGTCCATATTGTAGTATAGTAAAGTAACATGTAAATTTATAAAAGCATGAATTCTACTGAGGAAAAGCAGAGACCCATACACATTTCACAGGGTTGGTCATACAAAGAAAAAGTATGGAGGTTCATATTGGATAATCTCTATGCTAAATCCTTTCTTTATAAGGGATTGCAGATAATACTCTATGTTGAGATTTTATATTGCCACCTGCTAGGTAGGTTATCAGACTATATCTACCTTCTGTGTGATGTAGTTACTTATCTTCCCACAGACCGGTGGTTTCCAATAAGTGTGATCTTTATGTAGTGATGTAGCCCAGAGTTAACAGTGTCAGATGGCTCACTGTATAGCGACCTAGGCTACAAAGTGTTTATGCTCTTAGAACTACAATCTGTCCACAGTTCAGAGGTAAGGTTTGGACGGGTTCGCCTATGACTCCTCTTCTTGGTTCTTCGCCAGTCACAGAATGAAAATTCTGCTTTGAAGGAACCAATGCATCACCTCAAAATGACCAAGGAGGTTCAGAAAAGCCCAAAAGTAAACCCGACCAGGTACTATGAAATGAGTCTCTCCAATAGTTACTGGGTTGATAAAACTTTATACAAATTCACAAGATTTGATTTCAATGCTCTGCTAATGCAATCAAAATCTCAGGGATCTGGGCCTAGTACTAAAGCAGATACCTATTGTCCCAGCTACTGGAGGGGTAACATGGCGAGACTTCATCTCAAAATGCAAACTCAAGAATAAATCCGCTAGAGGCATGGGAGCTTGACACTAGTGTGTTAAACAGACAGAGGGCCATGGGATGACAAATACATCTTCTACTGCTTGGCTTTTGTATACTTTCATAAAACAAGCCTTCCCCTAACACAGACACCAAAGGAGCATTAGGGCTAGGTGGGAGTGTTGAACGTAAAATAGAGTTTGTATGTGAATTGCTTATCACTAGATTATTACTGCCTAGATACAAATAATTACATACATTTATATGTATGTATGTATGCATGAGAGAGAGTAATTATTTTTATCATGTACTCAGTATATATGCTGTTGGTTGTTTTTTACTGGGGGGGGGGAGGGGGCTCACCACCAAGCTCCCAAATAAAAACATGGAAGCTTTTTTATTTCTTATAAATGTCTGGCCTTTGCTTGGCTAGCCAGCCTATCTTATCTTAAATGAATCTATCTACCCTTTTGCCTCTGGGCGTTTCCCTTTCTCTTACTTCTGTAAACCTTACTGTCGCTTTTACTCCACAACTGGCTGGATGGCTGGACCCTCCCCTTGTTCTCTTGCTCTTCCTTTCTTCCCAGATTGCCGCTCCTATTGTACTCCCTGCCTCCCAGCCCCGCCTGTCCTTTCTCATACCTTGCTATTGGCCATTCAGCTCTTTTATTAGACCATCAGATGTTTTAGACAGGGGGGGAAAAATCACAGCTTCACTGAATTAAACAAATACAGCATAAACAAAAGTAATGCACCTTAATTTCCTACAACATATAATCATTATTTGCAATTAAAAGGTACAGAGACTGTTACTAATGAAACTAAAATGTGTGAGGCATGAAAGGGCAATATTCAAATAAACAATCATTTCTCCACCCACAAACTATTGTTTCCTTGGTGATTTCTGAAAGCCATGGACAATAGATAATTTTAACTAACAGGGAAAAAAGATTTGAAGACAATTAAAAAATAGTTTACAGCTGAAGTTATTAAAAATAACTCAGATTTCAGTGAAAGAAAAGCAGTTACAAAGGTTGCTAAGGTTCAGACTGACGCAACCCCTTTTGCCTGGGAAGAACAGTAGAGCTGTTTCTGGCCCTGCTCCTTGCTGCATTGGGGAAACCAGCCAATGCAGTGCTCAAGAGTTTATTCTGGAGCTGAGGATGAGGGAAAGCTAGCGGGCTCACCAACCTTGTTACCACCCAGGCCCAGAAACAGGCCTATGAGTTGACCCATCCCAACATCCACCCAATCTATGAACTGTTGGAGTATGTGAAGGGGACAAACCTGCAGATCCCAAACTGCAGATTCTCCATGACACAGGGCAACAAACAGGATATCCAAGAGGAGTATCATTGAGAGCCCATTATCATTACTGGCGTTATAGCAGAAATCAAAGGCCTCGAACCAGACCAATGACTTGTAGCAATGAACACGTCCAAGATGAATGGGCTAAAGGGTAAACTGTGTGCTTCAATGGGCCACACTGTAGCTTCCATGACAAGATTCTTTTTGTTGCTGTTGTTGTTGCTTTGGTTTTGTTTTGTCTTGTTTCTTTGTTTTTCTTTTAAGCACAGTTTTGATGTATGTGTGTGTGTGGTAGGAGGGGGCAGGGAGATAAGTGGGACCGGAATGCATGATGTGAAATCCATAAAGAATCAATAAATTAAAAAAAAACCTTAAAAAGTCCCTCTTTTGGGGTTGTTGGTACCAGAACACATAATCAACACTGATAGGCAGTTTGCTGCTTTCAAGTTTTAGGGGTCCTCTAATTGTCTAAACACAAAAAAGAGTATAAAGGCCCCAACCATATCATCTTACTGCACAGTACTCAGAAGGCAGACTCAGGCAGATCTCTAAGAGTTCAAAGTTAGCCTGGCATACATAGCTTTCTCACCCCTTTACAAAGACTCCATTGGGCATTATGAAATTCAAATATTCAAGGCACACACACACACACACACACACACACACAAATCTCAGGAGTTTGGAAAATCTATTCCACCTATTTTTTAAGATACGGTCACTGTGTGGCTCTGAATGATCTGGAAGCCATCGTATGTAGAACATGCCTCAAACTCACAGAAATCCACCATCTCTGCCTCCCAAGTATTGGGATTAAAGGCGCTTTCATGCCTAGTTGTTAAACCTTAGCAAACTCACACAGCGAAAATGGATTATCTGTTGATTTACTGAATACTATCAAAATAGACCAAAATAAAAGACCCCTTTCTTCAACAGTATACTTGTGTCTGAGGGTTTGTGCGTGCGCACGTGAACACGAACACACACACACACACACACACACACACACCAGACACTCTATTCATCTCACGTCCACCAAAAGCTCCAAGAGGACCTTACGATGGCATGCTTATACTTGATTATAGAGAGTACATTTATCTGAGAAATGCCTAATAAAGGCAATTAGTACACCTTCATATTAGATCTTTCCAAAAAGATGTGACCTGCTGGTGAGAAAAGCCTGTGTTGTGTAAAGGATACCAACAAGCTAGAAACATGGCTAATGTGTTGATGGCCAGATCCATCGTCCTCTGAGAGTCCTCACTTTCTACTCCTCTGAGCTATATAAAAGGTGCTCCTTGAAAATTTAATTTCACGTCTTGGCCAAAAGAAATGTGTACTCTAATACACACTTGTAAATTAAACTCCAAAGCACACTGAAGCTGCTGGGGATAAGGGACATGAGCAGTTAATGCTGCTAAGAAGTAGAAGGAAGAAAAAGGCAACAACAGTCTTGGGCATTTGAATTATAACTGTGTTGCAGTAAGAATCTCTGAGCACTTAAGCAACAAGACCTCCTTCTAAAAGAATTTTTACCTTTCTTTATTTTGTGTCTTGGGGTGAGGGAGGCTTGTGAGGGAGGCTTGGTAGCACCTTTACTCGCTGAGCCATCTTACAGGCCCTTGTGTGTCTTATGAAATTGACTATTTCTTCTTTGTTAAACTTTTTAATGTGTCTAAGTGCCTTGCCTGCACATATGCCTGTGTATCATGTGCATGACAGGTGCCTGCAGAAGACAAAACAAGGCATTAGATCTCACAGTACTGGAGTCGCACACAGTTGTGTGCTACCGCGTAGGTGTTAGGCACAGAATGCCAGGTCCTCTGGTAGAGTATCATCCCTGGTGACAATGAGTTAGAAGCCACCTTGGGCTGTCTCAGGCCCTCCTTTCCACCCTCTCCCCCCAGATAGCAACACAATAGAGTATCTTCATTTCCTTTGTGAGGAACTCTCTTCATAACTGAAGCCAGTCAGTTTCTTTGGGAGCAGCCAGTGTAAACTCATTGCCTAACATTGACAGTTAAAATGTATCCACTTTATTCTTCAAATGCGCCACTCACTGCATCCCTTCCCCTTATTCTTTGAGCACCTAAATCTGAGTACGTGCTCAGGGATTTGGCTCAGTGGTCCAGTGCTTACCTGGTATGTGTAAGGCTTTGGACCAAAATTAAAAAAAAAAAAAGACAAAAAAAGGAGAAAAAAGAAAGAGAAAACCTCTGGCTAATTAC